TGCATCAAGCCTCCAGGGAAAAGTAGAAGGTGAAGACAAAGATAAAGTGATATAAAATAACAGGGAAAAAGTGTTAGTAGGAGACCAACGCAATTTTTCCAAGAAATCATCACCAGGAAGAATGTATGCACATGAGATGCATGTATATATGTATAAATTTATACATTTATATATAAAGAAACCAAAATTGAACAATGGCAGCTTATTAAAACATATAATATGAAAAGAGGTGACCACCTTCCACTGGGGAGTAGACTCGCCTGTGAGAATGGCTTCATTGACAATCGCACTTCCAGCTAATAAAAGCATGTCTGCTGGCACAGCCCTATCTTCACCATTCGGACCAGAAGATCGCCCAATAGAAACAACATCCCCAGGCAAAAGATCAGTTCCAGCAAGCTTTATCCACCTAAAAGTTATAGCAGTCATGTATAAGGTATAAACAGCTTAAAAATTCAAACAAATAAATAATTTCCTTGTAGACAACGTACTTCCCACACCGATGCACCATGAGGGTCTGGTTATCCACTCTGACACGTCTTAGCTCAGTAAGAGTCTTTAACTGACTTTTAGCCATTGTTGACTCAAACATAAACAGCATAAAAAGCGTGAACAAACTATAATACCAATATTCATCCAAACACCAGAGGCCCACACAGAACACCTACATACAGGGAGCACAAAAGAATGCGGTGAAGGAAAGTGAGTACGGAAGAAAAGGAAATCTCACATTGGACAGAGAGAGAGTGAGAAAGGAGCTAAAACCTGGAAGACAAAGAAGGGCTCCATGCAATTTTCTTTCATTAATTTCTGGAATGTAGGTTGTGGATATTCAAATCTGCACAACCAAGAAACGTGTACAACAAGGAGCAGTTAAAAAATGATAATTTAACTGGATCATCCTCAGTGTACAGGATGTAACCAATTTAATAGGGAGTATATAAAATAATAGATGTTAATTAGCCACAAGACTTTGCAATCAAGGATACCAAGAAAGAATAAAACCAGTAGCTATCAGGTGCATCATATACATAAGCTAGCTAACAACCAAAAAGAGGAGCAGGAAACAAGAATAGTTACAGAAGTACTGTGTGAAATACCGCCGATACAAACTGGATAATAAAAGGTAGCTTCATGTTCCAAATCACCAAGAGATAGTTAATACATGCAGAATATACAATACACATTAACGATCAAGTAACAAAACAAGGCATGCAGAATTGCACCTAAGGATACTTACAATGTAAAGCATATGCAAAATCCATGAAGAACTAAACAACCAGAGGACAAGTGATACACAAGAAATAATAAATTGCCAAACAGCAAACAACCAGTTACCTTATAACTAATATCATCAACACATCTTCCTTATATGACTCGCAAGGGTTGCCAGAATCTCATAAGTTTTTTATATTAACAAAAGAATATTCTGAAGACTGGTGTAAAGTGACCAGGCAGAAGCAAAGCAACAATATATTCATCTAGGAAAGAAGCAAAATCAACTAAATGGAGGGCAGTCCAGCATTAAAAATTTATTGATATTCATTGGCACAGCTTAAAGAAAACAAGATGGTAAATCAGTCTAAAATTTAAAATAAGAAAATGTAATCCAGCTTCCATAGGAACCAAACCTATACTATAATTGCTAAAAGATGAATCAAGAAACATTAAAAAAAAAAAAAAAAAAGATAATTCAACAAATACATCTTTAAGAATGAAAAAGGGAAAAGGCAACTAACACATTCCGTCCCCATTTTTCAGTAGCAGCAATAACTTTAGGTTCCGACCCATGGCCAGTACTTTTTAAATAGTAACCGAATGTTTCCTTGGTAGGGTAAGGAAGCTTGCAAAAGTTATCCTTCTCTTTTGAAAAGATGTAACGTTGCTTTCTGAAATCAAAGTAAATCTCTTCAATATCCACTGAGGATGAAGAACCTCCAAGCTGAAAAAGTCACCAGATAAATCAGGCGATAGTTCCCAATGTGGGGAAAAAGGCACATCATTTTGCAAAATTTGGTCATTCTAGTAATTGATACTTCTTAATAACCAGGAACTGTAGTATAATATTATCCATTGAATCTCAAGTAAGGTTGAAGTATTCGAACTGTATAATGGACTTACAAGCTTACGGAAATGGAGTGATACGATTTCTTTAGAACCGGAAAACTTTGCTGGTGTTATTTTGCATGCGTCTGCCTCGTGAATGTCATTTACCTTAAAAACAAAAGGAACACTGATTACAACAACAAATCATCATAAAAACTTAATGGATTGCCAATGTATGGTCCAATTCATGTATTTGCATACTAATTAGGATTATATTACAAAGGGATTGTATCTTTCTAGACTCTAGCTTATTCAGACCAAGAATATGCTTTGTTGCCAGAATCTCTGTTATTACCCATCAAAGAAGTTGATGAGTGAGACTATGTGCCAATATACGGTCCTCATTGTCATGAAAAATCCTCCCTCAGAATACAGCACCACTATATACAATATATACACAAAGCACAACCTCCACTTTGCATGGAGCAACTTTATCGTTGTACCAAAGTACACACGCATATACATACATAAATGCAGATGCATATATCAAACAAATACATATACACATACCTTGGTATAATGTACAAAGCATTTGAAATCCACGGACCAAACGGTGAAAAGCCAAACGAGAATATGAAGAGCTACAAGGGCACCGAAAACAATAGCGGAGTCGACAATGTCAATGCTAGGAACAATTGTAGTAAGCCACAGAGCATAGAGGACACAGAAAGGCCAGACATCGAAGCGCCACCCCAAGCTCTTCTTCCTCAACAAATCAACTTTATCCACCACCTTCCCTCCCACATGGAACCTCGACATCTCTATCAACCACATTACAGATTCGAAAATCAAACCCACTTCAGCAAAATCAAAAATGAAAACAAAATAATGGAACAAATTATGTAAATTATCTCCAAATCAATATCAAATCTTTCTGAAAACAAATCACAACATTTTTTTCTCTTTACCTGAATCTCCTCGTTTCAATTTCAACGGCGATCGCAAGCCTAACGCCTCTGTGCAAGCCCTAATTTGAAACTATCCAGGACGATGATGAGTACGGTACATATTAAGTTCAGGTGGTGGACGGGGATACAAACTCTGCAAGCCCTAATTACTTCCGTTTCGTCGTCTTAAACCCCCCTTGTTAGCCAACCGAGTTCAATTCTCCTGTATGCCCATTTTCTCTTTGCCCTCCTGTACCCTCCATATTCTCTTGACAGCTGTCCTCTCACTTTTTTTTCCTTTTTTTTAACGAATACCTGTCCTCTCACTTAACCATCAATATAAGTTAACGCTGTTAGCTTTTAATAAAATATTTATGCTAAAAAGGTGAAACAAATAAAATTCGAAGAGAGAGAAAGGAGGCTTGGGGTTGGGGCGGTGAGCAGAGATGTGTTGCGGCTGAGGTGGGCTACAGAGAGGATGAAGGAACCAAGCTTTTGTGTATTATTTTATAATTGTTTTTAGTAAAATTAATAATACAAATTTATAAATAAACCTAATCCTAGACATGTATTTATAAAAAAACTCAAGCATTATTTAAACATAGAAACACACTCAAAATCAACCATAAAGTCAACTTTTTGGGTGTGTTTATAAATGGGTTTTGAGTGTGTGTAATGATGGGTTTTGGGTGTGTTTATATGTTTCAATAGTGCTTGGGTTTTTTTATAATTTCAACCCCCATTTTGGGTGTTTTAGTGAAACTCCCAATTAATAACCTTAACAGAGTCTGGCAAAAAAATAATGACCTTAACAGAGTTAGTGTTCCGTTAAATATTAAAGTACTAGATTCTTACTTTTAGTGCTAATAATAAATATTTTTTCATTTTAAAGTACTAGATTCTTACTTTTAGTGCTAATAAAGAGAGAAGAAATATTACCCCCCCAAAAAAAAGACAAAGAATAAAAATAGATTTTTTTACCCGTAATAATCTCTGAACTTATACCCGAATTTCATTTTGATCCTCCAACTCTTCCATGTGTGTCAATTGTCATTTCTTAATAATTTTAGTAACTTTGAATAACATGAATAGCACATGAAGTTCCAAGCTCTTTGGCTCTCTCATTTTCTTAAACAAGCTTGGCATAATTTTGAAAAACATCCCGCATTGCTTGGACTATTGTTTGTAAAATTAGAGGTTATATTCAATTAAGATTTTTAAAGATTTTTAAAAAGTTTAAAAGTACAATTGTATTTAATTACAAATTTATAGAAGTCTATAAATATCACAACTCACTCCCTTAGTCTTAGCAATGGAGGGAGAGTGGCGTGGCAGAACCCTAAACATGGCATGATGAACCAAAGTTCCCATCCGCGTGAGAGGCACATATCTAAAAAGTAACATAAGTTAGAGACATTTTATAGAAATTCACGATTGTTCTTGAATTGCTCAAAATTAGAAACTACATAGACAAAATTAATCAAATTGAAGCAACAATGACCAAAGAACTATTAAGACCAAAAATGACTTTTTGCCTTTACATTTCCTTGTCCAAAAGCAACATAAAAGTTAAAAAGTGGTGGGAAAAAAAAGGAATTTGACTGAGGAAAAAGAACACACTACTACAAAGTAGATAGGAGGTGAATAATAATTAGGGAGTTTCACTAAAACATCCAAAATGGAGGTTGAAATTATAAAAAAACCCAACACTCAAAACACTTTATAAACACACCCAAAAAGTTGACTTTGGAATTGATTTTGGGTGTGTTTCTATGTTTAAATAGTGCTTGGGTTTTTTTACAAATACATGTCTAAAATTGAGTTTATTTATAAATTTGTATAATTATTATTAACGCGGCCAAAATAAAAGGATTATAGCAAGGTGACAAATTCTCATGCACTCTAGTTGACACATTGCTTGTGGTCCCATCCTCAAAAACCTGTCAAGCGTTTCTAACATAACATGTGTGTGTGTGTATTTAAATTACTTTGCTGGCCTTTCTCTTATTGCTTCTTTCTGCCTCTTTCTGACGAAGCCCATTGAAATGGCTTTGGTTTTGGCTATGGCTTTGGCCATGGTTTTGGCTGTGGCTCAGGAGGTTGAGGGGCAGCTTATGGTAGGTTTCTATGGTGAAACATGCCCCCAAGCCGAGCCCATTGTCCGCAACGTCGTTAGAGAAGCTATTCTCTCCGATACCAACATGGCACCAGTCTTGCTCAGGCTCCATTTTCACGACTGCTTCGTTGAGGTCCTCTTCTCTCTTTCTCTATTATTATTGTGTTTTTATAAAAGTCATATTGAAAAAAGAAGGAATCAAACCTAGGATCTCGGGTTCAGGAGTAATCTTTGAGCTACAAGCTCCTTGCCTCTCTCATCTCTAACCCTTAACTTCTTTCACACTAATAAACAGCTGATTAGTTAGTTAATTAATAGATTAATAATATTGTTAATTATTATTTGAATTATTTATATAATTAGCATTTGTAAAAGCAGGGTTGTGATGGGTCAATTCTGATTGAGAACGGCCCAAGCGGTGAGAGGCATGCATTTGGTCACCAAGGCGTTGGGGGATTTGAAGTGATAGAGAAAGCCAAGGCAGAGTTGGAGGCTGCATGCCAAGGCGTGGTTTCTTGTGCAGATATTGTGGCCTTGGCAGCTAGAGATGCTATAGCCATGGTGGGTTATAATTTACTACTTAATTAATTAAGCAAATTAATAATATTAATAATTCAATAATACTATTTGAACCATATTTATTAACCACTTTATCGATATATATGTAGGCTGGTGGACCGGCGTACGAGGTGCCTACTGGCCGAAGAGATGGGGTGGTTTCAAATATGTCTCTGGCAGATGACATGCCGGATGTTAGTAATTCAATCCAACAGCTCAAGGTTAAGTTCATGCGCAAGGGCCTTACAGAAAAGGACCTTGTCCTCCTCTCTGGTACTCTCTCTCTCTCTCTCTCTCTCTCTCTCTCTCTCTCA